CTAGTGACATTTTGAGTGAATAGTTTCAATGAGGTGGTGGAATCCAGATTACAGATATATGTACAAAATGAGTCAGAGAATTAGATTGTCTTTTTTAGAGGTATATACAGGAGGGATAAGGAGTAAAGATCTGGAGTTCAGGGATGAAAGGAGGGAGAGATGGTGAGAGAAACATTGATGTGAGAGAGAAACATTGATTGGTTGCTTCCTGTATGTGCCATGACCACAAATCGAAATTGATGTACAGAAAAAGGTTCCAACCAACTGAACTACCCTGTCAGGCTGAATTAAAAAATTTTTTGTGTGGGCTTTTTATACCTAAATGGAAAGAACCATTGAAACATTAAAACAAAACAGAGAGAAGAGTCAGTCCAGAATCCTAATTGGTGGGGAAGAAAGTATTGGCCTTCTACAGAATTCTAGTCCTCAAGTACTTCATGGTTCAGAAAATTTGACTTATTTTCTACTGGTAGGGTGGGGATGGGTAGTTTACTTATAAATTAATCTCAAATTAACCTTACTATTAAATATGCTGTTTGATTTCAGAGGAATGAAAGAAGTTATAAATCCCTTGGATTATATTTAAATAAAATATTCACTGCTTGGGTTAATACTAGTTCAGCTGCTACTTATGATGCTGTTTTCTGAGTTTCCAATGAGTGGAGACCTCATGTCATCTTCCTTCCAGTATTACCTATCCCATGCTCCTCATTAACTGCTATCTTCCAGCTGGGTGGTGCTGCCTGTAGGCTGTGGTTATAAAGCTGAGCAAGAGGCATGGTGATTCAACTGTTACTCTATTCAATTTGTGGGAAAGAATATATATTTTTTAATGTATATATTTTATTGATTTTTTTACAGAGAGGAAGGGAGAGGGATAGAGAGTTAGAAACATTGATGAGAGAGAGAAACATTGATCAGCTGCCTCCTGCACACCCCCAACTGGGGATGTGCCCGCAACCAAGGTACATGCCCTTGACTGGAATCGAACCCGGGACCCTTGAGTCCGCAGGCCGACGCTTTATCCACTGAGCCAAACCGGTCAGGGAAAGAATATTTTTTAATGGTAAAACATTGGACTTGTATTTTTCACCTTATACAGAGTAGGAAATGTAATGTTACTATTCAGCATGTACTTTCAAAAAAATATGTTTTTATTGATTTCAGGGAGAGGAAGAGAGAGGAAGAGAGGGATAGAAACTTCAGTGATGAGAGATAATCATTGACTGGCCGCCCCCGACACGGCCCCTACTGGGGATCGAGCCCACAACCCAGACATGTGCCTTGACCAGGAATTGAAACATGACCTACTGGTTCATGGGTCGACACTCAACCACTTAGCCCCACCAACCGGGCCAGCATGTACTTTCTCTTTTTAATTTGCTGTAACCTTGTTTTGTAATTTATTTAGAAACTAGAGGCCTGGTGCATGAATTTGTGTACAAATTTGTGCACCAGTGGGGTCCCTTGGCCTGGCCCGCAGGATCGGGCTGAAACTTGATCTCCGACATCCCCTGAGGGGTCCTGGATTGTGAGAGGGCGCAGGCCAGGCCGAGGGACCCCACCAGTGCACAATCGGGGCCGGGGAGGGACGCGGGAGGGCTCCAGGGCATGTCTGGCCTGTCTTGCTCAGTCCCGATCAGCCGGACCCCAGCAGCAAGCTAACCTACCAGTTGGAGCATCTGCCCCCTGGTGGTCAGTGCACATCATAGTGACTGGTTGACTGGTTGACTGGTCGACTCTCTGACCCCTGGTGGTTAGTGCACGTCACTGTGAGCTGTTGAGCAGCCTTAACATATCCTATATAATAAAGAGGTAATATGCAAATTGACCATCATACCCTCACACAAGATGGCTGCCCCCATGTGGGCACAAGATGGCTTGCCACAAGATGGCCAGCAGGGGAGGGCAGTTGGGGGGCGACCGGACCAGCAGGGGAAGGCAGTTGGGGGTGATCGGGCTGGCAGGGGAGCAGTTAGGCATTGATCAGGCTGGCAGGGGAGTGGTTAGGGGGTGATCAGGCTGGCAGGCAGAAGCGGTTAGGGGCAATCAGGCAGGCAGGCAGGCAGGCAGGTGAGTGGTTGGAAGCCAGCAGTCCCGGATTGTGAGAGGGTGCAGGCTGGGCTGAGGGACACCCCCCCCTCCCGTGCACGAATTTCGTGCAGCGGGCCTCTAGTCATTAGTATATTATGCTTTGATTGGTTGAATGGACGACCGGACACTTAGCATATTAGGCTTTTATTATATAGGATTTTTTTGTGAAATGTTTGATACAAAGTGAAGAGTGTATAAAATATATATGTTTCAGCCTAAGAATAACAGAAAGAATACATATTACCTATCACTCAGGTGAAAAAATAGAAATCACTAGTATTTTGGAATACTAAGAGTGTCCCTTTCTCATATTCTACCCTGTCTGTCCCCAGAGGTGCCATTATCTTGACTTATGTGTTATTTTCTTTATAGTATTATTGTCTGTGTATATGTTCCTAAATGACATATTGTTTACTTTGGAAAATGAATAGTGTGTACCAGGCTAACTTCAATAGGAAAGGACAGCATTTCCACAGTTAGATGAAGGCTTCCAGGAAGAGGGCTGACTAGTTGGCATCAGGTTCACTGACTTTCAAGAGCTTCTACTCAGGCAATCAGTAAGTGGTGTCACGAGTTAGTTCTTGGACACATAGGTCCAGCTTGGTCGGGAATCAGTCTGGGCTACAGTAGGGACCCTGTGTTACATGTTTGTTCAGCAGGCATATGTTCCCATGGAAAAAGTGCTGCTCTTTAGTTTTTATTTCTACGCTCTTTGTGGTCTTCTTTCAGCACTTAGGAGAGTATCAAAGCAGAACACACTGGGAGGTGAAAAGAGTGTTTGCAGCTGATGCAGGTGGCAAGGCAAGGTGGGGTGAGTGTGTCCATCAAGGCAAGCTCGCTATGAATGAAAATCTGGAATAGGCTTATCTGGACGTCCTGTGCTTAGAAACGTCAGTGTTTATCTTGGAGATGGCAGTTTGACGTGCTGTCTCGGGAGTCCTATTGCTGCAGTCCGGACTGGTTGCCTTTTAAGTCCAGTGCACAGCTGCATGCTGGAACCTCTTTTCCCAGGCCTCCTTGAAGATCACTGTCATCCCTCTCCCAGCTTTGATTTCCTGCATGTTCTGTATCCTAAGTCATCTTTTTTTTTTGGTTAAATTACAAATTTACTCTTAAAAAAATATATATATTTTATTGATTTTTTTTTTTACAGAGAGGAAGGGAAAAGGATAGAGAGTTAGAAACATTGATGAGAGAGAAACATCGATCAGCTGCCTCCTGCACACCCCCCTGGATGTGCCCGCAACCAAGGTACATGCCCTTGACTGGAATCGAACCTGGGACCCTTGAGTCTGCAGGCCGATGCTCTATCCACTGTTGATAACCAGTTAGGGCCAAATGTACTCTTTTTTAAAATACAGAAAATACTTTCCAATTGCTTCTTGAGAAAGAATGCAGGGAAGGTAAATGTGAGCTCTTTCCTGTCTGAGAAAAGGCTTTCATAGACAGTTTGGCTGGGTGAAGAATTTAGGTTGGAAATAATTTTCCTTTATAACTTTGAAGAAATGGTTCCATTGTCATCTTCCTTCCAGTATTAGGGTTGAGAAGACTGAACTGAGTCTCAAGTCTGTGTGTGTGAGACTTGTATTTTCTTTCCAGAAGCTCGTAGAATCTTCTTTTTGCCCCCGGTATTACAATACTTCACAATGGTGTGCCTCAGTATAGGTCTCCCTTAATTTTTTGTACTAATTACTTGGTAGGTCCTTTCAAATGGGCAGCTTTAGGTTTTTCAGCTCTAGAAAAATCTCTATTAATTCTTTGATTTCTTTCCAACCACCCCTTCTCTCTCTCCATATTCTTTTTTCTGTAATTCCTTTTATTCATATATCGGCCTCCTGGACTGTCCTCTAATATTGTTCTCTTTTCTGTCCTATTTTCTAGTGCTTTATCTTTTTTCTCTGGTTCTTGGAAGACTGCCTCAGTTTTATCTCCCAAGCCTCTGTCTTTTCATTTTGGCTATTGTGTTTTTAATTCTAAGAACTCTTTATTTTTAAATGTTATTTATTTATTGTATTCTGTTCTTGTTTTATGGATATAATATCTCTGAAGAATATTAATATATATGTGTGTGCATGTATGTGTATATTCTGTCTTAGACGACTAGTAATACTTGATTAACAGTTGAGGACTAAAATGCTGACTGGAAACGGGTTTTGGTACAGTACTGATACTAGCAAATGTGCCTAATTGACCTCAAAAGTACTCTTGTTTCTTCCTCTCCAATCTTCTGCTCTGGTGGGGAGGGCTGGTTACTAAGCATTGTGGAGAAGGGAGTGTGTCTAGGAACCGAAGTGCTTTTCAAACAGGCTTAATGGGATCTTCCTTGTTTGAGGAGCCTCCTCTTTTTCTACCACCTGCTGCTGAAATTAATTATTTCCAGAATTAATTGAGATTTTGCCTTCTATGGGTCTCCAGTGTCTCTGCTGTTTCTCAGCTGGCTCTGCTGCGAGGCTGAGATTTGACTTTCCTGGGTCCACTAAACCACTTAATAATACCCACCCATCCACTTTCAGTCTTCCAAGGTTTTGTTGCTCTTATCTCTTCTCCTTTGTAGCTTTTATCTCTTCTCCTTACACAGTTGTCTAAAAGTCTTTTACTACTTTCATGAGAGTGAAATTATATGCATGTTTTTAATTTGCCATCTTAATTCTAAAGCCCTGATTATTTAAAATGTGTATTAGTCTAAGTTTCACCTCTTACGACTTGGACAGATTATTAAAGTTAACCCTTTGCATCTCTTGTTTTTTTGTTTGTTTGTTTGTTTTGTGTGTTTTTTTACATTCATATTTATACTACATTAAACTCATTGTGTGGATTCCTTGAGACTCTAGGAACTCAAGGCTTTATAAGTGAATCCAGCATTTGTGAATAAAAAGGTTGATTGTTTTTTAAATTTGCTCTTGTAGGAAGGTGAAAAGGTTTCTGACTATCCAGCAGTGATTGTGGAGCCAGTTCCGAGTGCCAGATTAGAGCAGGGCTATGCAGCCCAGGTTCTGGTTTATGATGATGAGACTTATATGATGCAAGATGTGGCAGAAGAACAAGAAGTTGAGACCGAGAATGTGGAAACAGGTAGACATCTCATCAAATGTTTATTATTTATAACTTTCTCATTTTGTGTCATCGTTGCTATTGCCAGATGAATAATATCCCCCAAACTCCTCCTTTTAATGCTATTTAGTATAGATTGGAAAGCAGTGAAACATCTCTTGTTTAAGGAAATTTATATGGACATAAGGAGTTCTCTATTATAATTTTTTGAGGTATAACAGAGTCTTGTATCATGGACCCTAAGGACAAAATTACAGGCCCCCAATAATTATTTTTATAAATTTTTTTGGAAGTGCAAAAGTTGACTAGTTATTTACTTATATTAGAGGTCAGTAGGCTAGTATATGAAGGTAACTTTTTTAAATTTAAAAATGAATAGGGTATTCTCATTCTGTAACAGATTAAAAGTTTCTTTGAATCAGTATTGATGGAGCAGTATGATTCCTTTTTTCATAGGTCAGAGTATCTTTGCAGTAATCTATCAGATTCCTCTTCCCTTTAAGTCTTAGAAATTGTGGTGTTTTAGTCTGTCTGTGGTGAGATAACTGTAAGTTTAATTGGGGGTTAGTGTGTATAATTCTTGGGGAAACCTTTTAATTTTTGCCATTGACTATAAAGAAAGTAAGAGTATTTTACCAGAAGGATTGCAATGACCCTTTTATAATAATAAACATTAAAATTTATCTTTAGCTATTAATGGTGAAAAAGAATCCTTATGCTTGGTGTACAATCCGAGTAAGAATTCATAAGCATTTCGATAAATTCCTATAAATGTAGCAAAGTCTCATGATTAAACATGGTGAGAGTTGGACGTCTTTCCGCTTGCGGAGGCCCAGGAGCACTGTGTAGCACTACTAGCTTCTTCCAGCTGAAAGCTGTTCTTCCTCCAGCCTTATTTGTTGTTGAGCTGAGGGATTGGAAGCTCCCTTGCTCTTCAGAGCTTCAGAGCGATGGCAACAACAATGCCAGTAAACCCCAGGTGACTTGGTGACCAATTCATTTTCAAAACAGGTTGCCAAACATTTTAGATGGGCGTGGTGACTGTAGTCTGTGCTGGTACTTGATTTATGATAGATAATGCAAGTGGCAGGAAGATACATGTGTTTTTCTGAGAGTTTGGAGAGTTTTCCATTCAGAAGGTAGAAGTCTAGTGGCAGAGATGAATTTTCTTCTTGAGGAGAACAATAAGCAAGAACAGCTAACAGTATTTTGCATGATGAAGTAGCTGTTGAAACTGATTTTATTATAGGAGCATAACTAAACAGAAAACTAATAGTACAAGAACAAAAAGTCTGATAGGTAAAGTTGAATGAAAGAAGTAGAACTTGTGTGAAATTTCTGTAAAACATTCAAAAGCATAAGGAAGGCTATGATTTTAGTAGCAAATTAGAAATTACAAAAAATGAAAACTACAGTGCCAAGTTTGCATCAGTAGAACATTGTTTTATCACAAAATATTTATCACATTAAAATACCAGAGCACGTCGGCCAAATCTTATTGGTTGTACAGTTGGTGGTCAGGGCTTCATTAATTTAAATTATTTAGATAAAAACAATTCCAAATAGGAAGCAAATATAATCCACTTAAAGGATTTGATTTTCTTAGTCTTGAACTCTGAGGGTGATTATATCATTTGCAAGGCAGAGATATGAGTGATTGTGATATTGGAAAGGAGGATATACAAAGTCTGGGTAAAGTAATAGCTATTTTTATGATATTTTAAAAGTGGTTTTTGAACACTTGATAACATTTTTTAGATTTATTTATTTTAATACTAAAAGGAAATGTTAGTAAATAACTCACATTATTCTAAATAGTCTAAGTGTACTGAGAAGTTCATCTTAAAATTTTTTTTTTGTTGTTAATCCTCACTCGAGGATATTTTTTCCATTGATTTTTAGAGAGAGTGGGAGGGAGGAGAGACAGAGAGAGAGAAAAACATTGATGTGAGAGAGACACATTGTCTGGTTGCCTCCCGCATGCACCCTGAGTTCGGGGCCAGAGATCTAGCTTGCAACCAAGGTATGTGCCCTTGATCAGAATCGAACCCAAGACCCTTCAGTCCATAGGCCGACGCTCTGTCCAATGAACCAAACTGGCTAGGGTTCATCTTAATTTTTAATTACATACTAGCTTGTGGATTTTTAATGAAATCTATGCTTGCTTTATTACTTCTAAAAATAAAGGTTAGTATAGTATAATTATTCTTGTCTCTCTTTACAGAACAACACTGTAAATCTTAGAATTCAGATATAATTATTTTAAAAAGGCAATGCCAAATTCATACTGAAAACTGCTGGCACATACATCTATAATCACAACAATTTGAAACTTGTATTTATTCATCATAAGGCATGCAGACCATGGAGTGAGTCTATGATATACTGACTTATTTGACAATACTATATCTCATGGATTTTTAATAACTTTATAAGGAAGGTTAGTATATATAGATTAGTTTAGAATAGTTTCATCAGAGCTTAATTTTGTTTTTATTTAAAGAATCAAATGCATTTTCAAATGCGTTAAAATCTGACTAAATTTTCATTCTTCTGACATCTAACATCTAGAACGTATATAAAATGAATGAAGGTTGTTATGATTTGTCCTAATGCATGTTTCCTTTTGAGTAGTGGAGTAGGATCAAGCTCATTTCTCATGGTATAAAGTTTTCACTTAAATTCCAGATACCTGTAAATTTTGGAGAAACTGAGTGGGAAGAAAAGCAAAGGAATATTTATAAAATAGTTATATCAGTTTTTATTTGGGGAATTGGTGGAAATGAGATTCATACAGACAAGATTTCCTTTTGTACATCTAGGGAACACTTCCTGAAATGTTCCTATAATTACAACTTAGGTTTATATACATTTAAAAATGTTCATAATTAGCCTGGTGTGGCTCAGTGGTTGAGTGTCGACCTATGAACAAGGAGGTCATGGTTTGATTCCCGGTCAGGGCACATGCCTGGATTGTGGGCTCACGCCCCAGTGGAGGCAGCCAATCAATGATTCTCTCTCATCATTGATTTTCTCTCTCTCTCCCTTTCTGAAATCAATAAAAATACATAAATTTAAAAATGTTCGTAATTATACTAATTGATCTGTATGTCAGTTCTCTGCATGTTTACAATAAGTTTTTCTTCTTTTATTCCTATATATCCATATGTATGTATCCACACAAGAAACAGTGTTCATGATGTCATCCATGCAGGAGTACTATAATCATGTAATGATACATATTTAGCCATTTTTATTATTTTGTGAATAAAATGATTTCTAATTTTGTTAGGTGTAATTATAGACTAAAAGTCTACATTTTCCTCACAGAGTTTATATGTAATTGTAATCGTCTCTTAAAATTTATAGGGAAAATCAGATATGTTTTGAAACTTTAAAAATAGGCATATTCATGTAAATCTATAAATTGCTTTTTGATGAGAGCTTAGGGTTAGTAATCATGAAGAGCCTTTGAAGACTAGCAGTGCAGTCTGGCTGAAGGTGGTCTTGAATGGCAGGCAGGAAATACCTCTGTCAGGGGCTGTAGGCTCTACCAGTTCTGGAGGCTCTTCCTGAGACTGATGGGGTGAGTTGGGGGTGGAGAGGAATCTCTTGAATTCCATACTAAGATTGGAAAATGCAGTTTTTATGTTTACTCAAAATATATGTATATTATATGACTAAATTTTAAAAGGTTGTTACAGATTACTATTTTAAAAGTAATAAGTTTATGCCAGTGCAATTAATAATAGATAGCTTTTTAAATTTTTATTTATTGATTTAAGAGAGAGAGAGAGAGAGAGAGAGAGACAGAGAGAGAGAGAGAGAGGTGTTGTTCCACTTATTTTTGCATTCACTGGCTGATTCTTGTATGTGCCCTGACTGGGGATTGAACCTGTAACCTTGGCGCATCAGGATGAAGCTCCTGGCCAGGGCAATAATAGATAAGTTTTGATAGAAATCTTATTTTAAGACTTGTCTGAGAAGATTGAGCTGTTTAGGCTTTCTGCCTCTTCATCTTGCACTTAAATTTATGAGAATATATTAATAAGTACTTTGCATTTTTTATGTGCAAAGGCACTGTTTTCAGCATGTTTCAGAGAAAAGTTCAATTTACAGGATTAGGGAATGTTTTAGAGAAAGCAAAGAAGGACAGTCGGTAGGATTTGGATGGACAGGTAGGAAGTAGGTGAAAGGCACTTTAGACTAAGGGAAATGTCTTTAATAAGTGGGTGGAATATTAAAGTTCAAGTTATTTTTTTATTTTTTAATCCTCACCCGAGGTCATTTTCCCATTGATTTTTATTTAGAGAGAGTGGAAGAGATAGGAAAATACAGAGAAACATATTGATTGGTTGCCTCTTGCACGTGCTTGAACTAGGGCCTGGGCCAGGGAGGAGCCTGCAACTGAGGTACATGCACTTGACTGGAATCAAACCCAGGACCCTTTAGTGCCCAGGCTGATGCTCTATCCACTGAGCCAAACTGGCTAGGGCTCAAGGTTTGTTTAGATGATACTGAGTAAATAAGACATTTGACAGGAGGTTCCATTACGAGTTGTGACTAGATTGTGATTTGAACCCAAGAGTTAGTCATTAATTCTTGGTATATAAAATGCAGAAATATTTGAAAAATTTTGAGTGGTAGGGGAAAAATGAGGCAGAAAGGCTAGCATTTGAGTCAAGGGATAACTTGAGAAATATTAAAACAAGGTTAGAAGTAATAGGAACAGAAGGGGCATATATAGGCTATACTACTATATAAAGTCTAACGAGACATGACAGATTACAAAGAGAGGCTTAGTTAAGATATTACTAAGTGATAGTGATGGTATCATGTATGGATCTGAGGAAGGGAAGACTGTTTCAGGAAACAGGTAAGTTTGGTAATAGGCGTGTTGATTTTGAGTTGAAGCAGAGCACCTATGGGGACATATTTAGGTATTTAAAGCTAGGATCCTGACAAATGGATAGTCAGGATCCCATCACAAAAGAGATGGCATATTCAAATTAGGATAATTT